GATCCCTGGCTTCTCTCCCTGGCTCCGGGGGGGACGTGGGGTGCAGTGGTAGGAGCAGGAGGCTGACAGGTTTTGGGGCTCTAAGCAGTGACTCTCCTCCCCCCCCGATTTCAGTCCTTCGCAGACTTGCCACACCGCCCTCTGCTGGTGGAGCTGACAGTGGAGGAGGGTCAGAGGTTAAAGGTCATTTATGGGTCATGCGCCGGGTTCCATGCCATTGATGTGGACTCGGGAAACAACTACGACATCTACATCCCCGTGCATGTGAGTAGGGCCTGCTCTAAGCAGTGACTCTCCTCCCCCCCCGATTTCAGTCCTTCGCAGACTTGCCACACCGCCCTCTGCTGGTGGAGCTGACAGTGGAGGAGGGTCAGAGGTTAAAGGTCATTTATGGGTCATGCGCCGGGTTCCATGCCATTGATGTGGACTCGGGAAACAACTACGACATCTACATCCCCGTGCATGTGAGTAGGGCCTGGCTGCAGCCTGCAGGGAGCCAGCCCTCGGGAGGGGGCCAGGCATTGGGACGGCACACCCAGAGCTCTTGTGGGAGTTGGGCTGTTCTGCAGGGGCTGCCCTTTGCCTCCTGACCTTTGCCCTGTACCGACAGATCCAGACCCACATCACGCCCCACGCCATCATCTTCCTGCCCCACACAGAGGGCGTGGAGATGCTGCTCTGCTATGAGGACGAGGGCGTCTACGTGAACACCTATGGGCGCATCATCAAGGACGTGGTGCTGCAGTGGGGGGAGATGCCCACCTCTGTGGGTGAGCCTGGATGGCTGGGTCTTTCCCGAGGGGTGGCAGCTCAGACCTCTGGGTCCTCCCTGTGGTGGGCAGGGGAATGAGGGCTGGGGAGTTAGATCAGGGGGGCTGGGAGCCAGGACTCCTGGGCAGTGTCCCTCTAAACTGCGTGGCAGCCCAGCTTCCCAGGTGATTAATCAGCCCCTCCCCGTCTGCCCCCAGCCAGAGGCTCAAGGCTTAGAGGGAACACTGCTCGTGGGTTCTCTCCCAGGGAAGCGGGGGCTGGTGGGTTAGAGCAGGGGGCCTGGGAGCCACACACCTGGTCCAGGGGGGCCCCTCCCTTGACTCTCGTCCCTTCCCCCAGCGTACATCTGCTCCAACCAGATCATGGGCTGGGGTGAGAAGGCCATTGAGATCCGCTCCGTGGAAACCGGCCACCTGGACGGCGTGTTCATGCACAAGCGGGCCCAGCGGCTCAAGTTCCTCTGCGAGCGCAATGACAAGGTGGGTGCTGGGGGTGCTGTGCTAGACGGACCGGGTGGGGGCATTCTCCACATTGCTAATTCAGACCCCAGTGTCCCTGCAGCAAGGATGTTAGAGTTGCTGTGCCCCTCCCCAGAAGTGGCTGCATCTCAGCACCAGGCGAGGGGTCCCAGTGTAACCACCCGCCCCAGCCCAGACCTTCTGCTCTGCTCCCCTTCAGGTTTTCTTTGCCTCCGTCCGCTCCGGGGGCAGCAGCCAGGTTTACTTCATGACACTCAACAGAAACTGCATCATGAACTGGTAAGGTCCCGCCCGCATGTCTGGTGCTGCCTCTGGAGGGGCGGGGCCAGGCCAGCCTAGACACTGGATCCATGTGCCGGAGACTCCGCCCCACAGCCACTGAGGATCAGGACGGACCAATCAGCAGAACCGATGCCTTGACCACCTTCTTCCCCACCTATGTTTGATGCTGCTTTGGGGGGGATTTCCATCACGACAGTGTTCCCCCTCCCTCCCCATGACTGACAAACTGAGTGAACTCCCCCTGCTTCACTTTCCCCTTCCCTTGGCTCCATGTGACTCACTCTGTTTATAGCTGCGAGGGGGCCTTGTGTAACCAACAGCCCTGCCCCAGAGGTGGCTGCTTCTCTGCAGCTTCCTAACGATTCCAGGTGTACGTGGGGTGAAGGGCAAGCTCCCCTGTGAAACACAAGGAAGGTGGCTGCAGGCCCAGGCTGGGGGGATCCCCCAGTGCTGTAGGTGTGGGGTGCTGCACCTTTTCCCCCACCCCAACCTCATGGAGGGGACTCAGAGTAGCTGGGGGCATAAACCCATAGCTTTGTGCCAATTTCGCTTTGCTTACAGGTAGGGTCGGGGCTGGGCTTGGGGTCCAGGGCACTTTCAGCCACATGTGTAAGCGCTGTGGTGGTGGTAGGGAATCCCCCAAAGCACCCCTTTGACTGCCTTGTGCACCCCAGAACTCATCCCCTTGTGTTGTCTGCACTGCAGCTCCTGGGCCCAGCAGACAGGGGCCACCCACCACAGGTGTCTGGGCAGGGTGAATGTATGGGGGGGGCACCGAGCGGGGAGCGACAAGGCCCCTGCAGGCTCTGTGTATATTTTGCTTTAATTATTTTATTTTGTAACAATGATTCATTAATGAAGCACTTTAAAGCCCTCACTACGCTCATGGGGGGCCAGAGAGCTCCCCAGGCGGATTTGGGGTTATTTTCTAACTGACCCAGAAGAGTTGGCCTCAGGGTGGGGACTCATTGGCTCAAGGGGGCAGGGATCAGGGCGTATGGCTCCAGCTCCCATCCAGCCCCATGGAAGCCTGGCTGCAGCATCACTGCAAGGGTTAAACAGCAGGGAGGCACAGGGACAGCATCTCGATCCTCCTTTGTGCCATGTACAGCGGAGGGGTCCTGCCTGGGGCCCCAAGAGCCATCAGGAGTGTGGGGGGGATGTTATGGAGTTTGTGGGGACCCCCGGTATTCAGTTTCCTCTGTACGTTGCTTGCATCTGTCTATCAAGCCCCCACCCCTGCAGACTGGTCCCCCATCCCCTGCGCCGTGGCCTTGAAATTTCATCTGTTAATAAAAAAACAAATTCTCTGACTTTCCCCTCCTGGCCAGGAGTTTTGTGCCTCCGGGGAGGCCAGGGCAGCATCCCCAGCCGCTCCACCTCTGCGGGCGGTGCTGGCCTCCCTGCATGGTGTTGGCAGCACCCTGCTGAGTCCCTACGCATGGCTGCTGCTTCATCTTGGTTCCTCTCGGGCAGGCAGGGTGGGACAGGCATGGTGCGGTCCAGGTCAGAGAGCTGGGGCACACTACGGAAATGGAGCCCTAGGGCCTACATTATCCCTGCCAGCAGGTGTTGCAGTGGCAGGAGCTTAAGTGAACTCTGTCTCCTTTGAAGGACTTACTGTCCTACTGCCTCCTTCCTGTTCTGTCCAGCCATGGCACCCTCCAGCCCTGTCCCACCTACACTCCAGGCTGGAAACCGGCTGGTGACCTGAGATTTCTGCAGACCAGCGGTGGTGTCAACAGGGGATTTCTCCCAGACCTTTTCCTCATGGCTCAAAAAGCCAACCTCCCATTGAAGACTGTAAAGCTGTGCTTCATGTGCACTGGCTGGAAGTCGCAGGCAGGAGCCATAGAACATTGATGAGGGAAGCTGAAGGTGGGAGTGGGAACTGGGTGGCTGGCAGGCAGTGTTAAGGAAGTGTATCCTATCAGGAACATGGACAAGCCAGGGGACCATGTGAGGGGAAGTGGCCCATTAACACTCCCAGTCATGGGGTAAGGAAAAACTGCTGTGCTGAGCCATACATCCTAGAGGTGTCTCCCAGGGCCATGAAGGGGGTATCTCACGCAGGTGTAGGACCTGTGCACTGAGCCATACAGCAGCAAAGATATGGCTACAGATTTCCCACCTGATGTTCTGGCAGGGGCTGGCCCTGCTTTGAGTTAGTAGGAGCTGGTCTGGTGGGGGGGGGTTGGCAACGATTTCTTCCACAGAGTCTGGGCTGTAACTCATTAATGATCGTGTGATTCTAGGAACATCCCAATCCACCCCTACTCCCATGACTGGAGGGATGTTATCGGACCACTGCATTGTGAATTGCCCCTTGAGATGTGTTAGCTGCCTAAGCAAACTAATCTCTGTCTTGCATTGGTGGGGAGGTGGAGTCCCTTGCCAGCCCTGAAGATGGACTGTGAAAGTTTGTCTCTTCCACCAGTAAAACATACCCTCCCCCCATTGCCTTTCGAAAGATAACCACTTGATTACTTGAACCCAAGAGAACCCACTAGATCATTCATGTTCCTTTTCAGTACATTATGGAGCTCTGGGAAATTTCTGGAAGTCCGGCAGAAACCTAACATTGGACCAATGTTTGAAAGGGGCAAATGGGCTGACTTGAGTATTTATAGACTCATTGGGAAGATATTGGAGGCCTTGTTTAATAAAGAATGAAAGGAGGGAAAGTGCTTCATGCAAATCAGCATGGGATTGTGGCAAATAGTGCCCGTCAAACCTGAGTGTGTGAGTGATTGTATTGATGTAGTAGACTAGGACTTCTGTGAAGCGCTTGGCTTGGTACCACACAACATTGTCATTAAAACACTAGCGTGCTGTACAAGTCACATGGCCCGTACAAAACAAACTGAAACACTGGTGAACTGAGAGCTCTGAAATGCACCTGGAAACAGGGACCCATCAGTGAGTGGGTCACTTTCTGGGGGGTCCTGTAGGGCTGGGCACTATGCTAGTTAATGTCTTTAGCAGTGATCTGCAAGAAAACAAACTGACCGCAATAAATTTGCAGATGACCCAAACCTTAGGGGAGTGGGAAATGCGGGGCCAGGGCACCAGCTCAGAGCCATGTGCATCATACGCCAATAGATTTGAAGGTGGCTAAATGCCAGCGTATACGAAGCACATGAGGTGGACAGTAGGCAATGGAGGACTCTTCTGGGGAGCAGCGACTCTGAAACTCACCTGGGGGGCAGGTGGTTGATGGGCCAGACCCAGGCAGGAGCTCCTGGCACGATGCTGGGGATCCTGGGCTGCATGAGGGGGAATCTCGTGTTGGGGCAGAGTGGTGATTTTACTGCTGCATTAGGCACTGCTGTGACTGCCGCTGGGATCCTGTGCCCAGTTCTGGCACCCACAATTCCAGCAGGGGGGGGTTAAATCAGAAAAGAGCCGCAGCTGAAAAGGCCTGGGGAGGCGGGGGGCTGTCCCCAGAGTCATGATGAAGTCTTCATTGGTGACAATTGGTGACTCAAGACCAGCTGGGTTCCTGCCAGGTCTGCTGTGGGAATGATCGGGGGGCGGGGTCAGCTCTCCTGCCGGGATCAGATGAGATGGTCCCGATAGTGCCATCTGGCCTTGGACTTTATGCACCTGTCAATGGTCACCCCAGAGGTGGCTGCATTTCAGCACCTGTGGCCTTAAAGCTCTGGGAGGACTCCAGGTAAGTCAGCACAGGGGGCTGGGAGCCAGGACTCCTGGGTTCTCTCTCAGCTCTGGGAGGGGAGTGAGGCTTGTGGGTCTGGCTTTCTCTCTAAAGTGCTTGGGCCTGTCAGGCCCTGGGATGGGTTGGGAACAGGTGCAGGGAGCAGGAGGGGGTGAGTGAAAGTGACTCCACAGTGGTGGAGGGGGGGGAGATCCGGTGTCCGGCCCACCCTGGAAGCTGCTCAAAATAACTTGCCCCTATTTAATCAGCCCCAGCTGGGAAAGGCCTCAGCCACGATGTGGGGGCCCTGTGTGCTGGTCTGGGCCCTGCTTGGCGTGGCTCTTGGTGGTAAGTTGCGGGGAGGAAGCCTGGGATCTCTGGCGACCAATGGAGCCAGGCTGCATTTGGGGGCTGCTGAGGAGGGTGGGAAGAGGCGGAGAATTGGAAGGTAAACGGACTGGAGGGGAGCATGGAACAGTCGGTTTGGGGGTGGCTGCACCCACAACACATGGGCCTGACCCCTGCCTGCCCCACAAGGGGCCCCAGGCAGGAACGAGGAGTTGCAGCTCTATGAGAAACTCTTTGCCAACTATGACAAGAACACGCGGCCCGTCCGGCATCCTGACGACATCGTGGACGTGCAGTTAATGCTCACGCTGACCAACCTCATCTCCCTGGTGAGACACCTTCACTCTCAACCTGCAGCCCCGAGCCCCGAGCCCCTCACTCCTGACCCACGGCCCTGGCCCCCCCGCAGCCCTGTGCCCCTCACTCCTGACCCACGGCCCTGGCCCCCCCGCAGCCCTGTGCCCCTCACTCCTGACCCACGGCCCTGGCCCCCCCGCAGCCCTGTGCCCCTCACTCCTGACCCACGGCCCTGGCCCCCCCGCAGCCCTGTGCCCCTCACTCCTGACCCACGGCCCTGGCCCCCCCGCAGCCCTGTGCCCCTCACTCCTGACCCACGGCCCTGGCCCCCCCGCAGCCCTGTGCCCCTCACTCCTGACCCACGGCCCTGGCCCCCCCGCAGCCCTGTGCCCCTCACTCCTGACCCACAGCCCAGGCCCCACACTCCCGACCCGTGGCCCTGAGCCCCTCACTCCCAGCCTGCAGCCCAGAGCCCCTTGCAGCCCCAGGCCCTTCACTCCCGACCCATGGCCCAGGGTCCCTTGCTCCTGAACTCAGCTCTGGTGCCCAATGTGTGACCCGGCTGGTGCCCCTCCTGACATGTGGTCTGTGGAGCCCCACATGTGGACCCAGCCAGTGTTCCTGATTGCCAATCCGCAGCCCCTGTGGTCCCACGCACCCCTTGGCTAGTGCCCCTCACCCCTGACCTGCAGCCCCCACAGTCACACTGATGCCCTGTCTTGTTGCAGAATGAGAAGGAGGAGACTCTGACCACCAATGTTTGGATAAAGATTGTGAGTAACAGACCCCCCCCTCCCCAATTCGAGGTCTCCTGCCCCACCCCCACCACACCCCAGTGCCCTCCTGAGGCTGAGAGAACCCAGGAGTCCTTGCACCCAGCTGGTCTTCCTCCCCCCTCGTTAACTCACCTGTCCCAGGGAGTGACCCTGTGACCTTGCCCTGAGGACCTCCCCTGCCCACCCTGCCGGTGCCCCTCATTCCTGATCCACAGTCCCTGCCAGCCCTGCCCTGCCCCCAGCCCTGCCGGCATCCCTCACTCCCAACCGCAGCCCCAGCTGGCTCCCCACACTCAGCTCTGTGCTGGCAGGGCAAGAGGGTCCCCTACCTCACCTCCTGTCTGTGCCCCCAGGAATGGGTGGACTATCGTCTGAATTACAGCAAGAGTGAGTTTGAAGGGATCCGCTCACTGCGAGTCCCCTCCGACATGGTCTGGCTGCCCGACATTGTCTTGGAGAACAAGTGAGACTCAACATGCCAGTGGGGGGAAAGCTGCCGTGGGGGAGGGGCATCTTGGGGTTCTGGGTACCATGGGAGACTGGGGGAGTTAGAGCTAGCAGGGTTTTGAGTGGTGCTGGGTTAGCAGAACTCAGGGACCATGGGGCAGGTCTGGAGTGTGAATAGCAGGATGCATGGACCCTGCGGGATGGGTTTGGGGTGTAGATTTACAGCCTAGGGCTGGCAGGACAGGGCTTCCCTGCCTAGGGGCTTTTTCCTACCTCTTCCCTCCTGGGAACCTGGCCCATCTCTTGCTCGCTCTGGGCACCACTGTGGGGCTGGTTGTGAGGCTTCAAATCGGATGCGATGCTGTGGAGAGGCTGTGAACAAGTGGATCCCCGGCCTGTTCCCCCAACCTAGACCCTAGTGAAACCAGAACCCAGAGTGTGAATGGGGCTGGGGGCGCATAGACACAGCTGCTCCCATGGACTCAGCCCGGTATCCCTCCTCTGGCCGGCTGGCATCGCTCTCACTTCGATGCTATCAATAGGTGTGTCACCGGGCCCTGCAGCCCCATTCACAGCCAGACTCAGGCAGCAAGTCGAACAGAAGGTTTATTGGTTCACAGGGACCCAGCGTAGCGCAGACTTGTTGGCACAGGACCCAGGAACATTCAGTACAATCCATCGTGGGGTAAGGTGGGCCCTACAGCCCAGCCCCCCCAAGCCAGCCAGATTCCCTTCTCCCTGTGCCAGCTGAAAAACTAAACTCACACCCCCAGCAACTAATCCCAGCCCTCCAGGCAGCCTCCTCTCTCCCCCCCCCCTTCAGATTCCAGGACAAGGTGTTATCTGCTGTCACCTGGTCCTCAGGACCTGAGAGACTGAACATTCTTCCACAGTGAGTCATGCCCAGCCTTCTCCTCCTCCAGGAAGTGTTCCATTGCCCAGGGAAACTGAGGCACACACACAGCATTACTACAGAACAGCACAGGACAGTAGAATCACACACAACTATGCACACAGTGAATACAACAGCCGAGCGAATACAGTGATGACCAGAGTACAACCCCCACCACCTTGCAAGCCAGGAGCCGTAGGCTGTGAGCCCAGCCCTGCTTGGGCCCCTTGGGACTCCCAACAAGCAGGCTGCCCTGGCTGCTGCACGGGGAAGGTGCTGGAAGTGGAGCGGTTTTGCTGTCATGTAAATGCGCTCAGGCATCCAAGCCAAAAACTTCCTTGAATCCATCGGTTAGCTGTGACTCCCAGGTAGCTGAGCGAGCAGGTAGCCGTTGCAGCAGGTCTCCCCGCAACACCGCCCGTGGCACACGTTGCTCAGGGGCGGCTCTGGCCACGTTTGGCCGGGGCCACTGTTTGCAGAAGGGCCTGACGGGGCGGAAACGTTTCCGTTTCTTTTATGAAGTTCAGTGGATGATTTCCCACCACCCGACCGTAAAGCACCGATTTCTCTGTGTGGCCGCAGCCCATGGGCTACAGACCCTTATTCACCGCCTGCCCTCGCTGGCTGCCTGGCCATCACGCCGCAACCCAATGGTTCACGCTCAGTCCGTGTCCCAGGTGCCCAGCACAGCCCACAGGGAGCTGAGAACTGGCCCCCTCTAAGCACCTCTGCCCCCAAACGCCTGCCCAGCTGCTGCAGCCCCCTTGGCTTTGCTCTACACACTCCAAAGCGCAACAGAAACACGTAGGGACAAAAGTCGAAAGGCCCAGGAGGAGCTGCCAGGTAACAAGGAAACATCTGACAGCTGCAGCAGCAGCAAGAGGCAGGGCAAAGGCAGGGCGGCCGCTGCTCACCCAGCCAATAACAAAAACTGCAGCTGTGTGAGAATTGCCCTTTCGTTTGGGTTTGCAGCCCAAAGAAGCGAGCAGTGACCAGGCACTGCAGCCAGCCATGCAAACAGGGTCAGGCCTGAGGCTGCAATGGGCCCAGAGCAGGTGACATTTTACATAGCCAAGTGGACAGGGCCTGGCAAAACACAGCCAGGTGCGCTGCAAAGACGGGAGCCCTCTGTGGTGCTCTGCAAGGCACGGTGGAGGCTGGGAGAGATCCCAGAGGAAGAGAAGGGCAAATCTAGCGCCCAGCTGTACAAAGGGGAATCACCTTCTGTGGCTGAGTAACAAGCCAAGAGGCTGGACAGAGGCAGACCACGTGACATGGCTGGGCTCCAGGAAGGCTTTTGAGGCTGGCTCATGTGACCTTTTCATAAGCAAATGGAGGAGGCAGAGACTAGGCCTGCGGGTCTCAGACTTTACCCATCCAAGGGTCTGCGTTTTGAGTTAATTTTTTTCAGGGACCTCTCTGCCCTGCCCCTTCTCAGCCCCCCCCCTCCCTTGTTCCATCCCCCTTCTTGCTGTCACTCACTTCTCTCACCCTCTCTTTTGCCAGGCTGGGACAGGGAGTTGAGGTGTGGAGGGGTGCAGGTGGGGATGTGGGCTGTAGAGCGAGGCTGGGAATGAGGGGGCAGGCGGGGCTGTAGACTGGGTTAGGGTGCAGGGGAGGATGCGGGATCTGGCTGGGGGCACAGGCTCTGGGGTGAGGCCTGTGATGAGCGATATGGTTTGCCAGAAGCACTTACCACAGCTACCAAGAAGTGGCCACCAGATGCCTGCAGCCCCTAGGTTCATGAGTGGCCAATGAGGCTCCGCCCCCACAGCGCCCATGGGTCACAGTTTCCAGCCAATGGGAGCTCTGGAGACAACATTCGGATGGGGACAGCTTGCAGAGCCTCTCTGACCAATCATGTGCCTAGTGGTTGCAGGGACTTGGCTTTTGGGAGGCCTGCCTTAGCCCCCCGAGGCACTGGGGGGGAGGAGCTGATTCGAGGGGTCCATGAACCCCTTGGAGTTCCCTTGTGGACCCCCAGGGGTCTACACACCCCAGTTTGAGATACATTGGACAAGACAAACCTACTATAAGGTAGGAGCACAAACAGTTGAAAAGGCCCCTCGGAGAGCAGGACCAATGGGTCTCGGTCATGCTGGGGTGGGGGGATTGGATGAAAATTCAAAATGATCTGGACAAAGCAGAGACATGGCTGGAAGTAAGCAGGATAAAATTCAATAAGGACAAATGCGAAGGACTCCACTTAGGCAGGAACAATCAGTTTCACACATACAGAATAGGAAGTGACAGCCAGGAAGGAGCACTGTGGAATGGGGTCTGGGGTCATGCACAGTGAATCACGAGCTAAATAGAGTCAACAGTGTATGACATTGGTGCAAACAAAGCAAACCTAATTCCAGGCTGTAGTAGCCGGAGTGTCACAAGCAAGACGCATAAAGCAATTCTTCCACTCCGCTCAGCGCGGTGCATGCTCAAGCTGGTGTATTGCGTCCAGTGGCTGCTTGTCTCATTTTTGTCACTTTCCAGGCTGGGCTGTAGGGATTTTAAAGCAGGGAGCTGAGCCCCCCCCCCTTTCTAACTCCATCTTCCCTCCCCACCCAGCATTGATGGACAGTTTGAGATCGCCTACTATGCTAATGTGCTGGTATACCCTGGGGGAGCCATGTACTGGCTGGCCCCCCCCCTCCCTACTTCCCCTTCGACTGGCAGAACTGCTCCCTTGTCTTCCAGTAAGTGAGATGCGGCCACCTCTGGGGCGTGGCAGCTGGTTACACAGGGACCCCTCGCCTGGTGCTGAGACGCAGCCACCTCTGGGGCAGGGAGGCCACACAGGGACCCCTCCTCCCCAGGCACCAGGACTGACCCTAAGGGGAGAGTGCCCACTTCTGACCCCCATGTGACCACAGATCCCAGACGTACAGTGCGAACGAAGTCAATCTGCAGCTTTCAATCAATGAGGAGACAGCGCGGCCCTTCGATGAAATCGATATAGACCCAGAAGCTTTCACAGGTACGAGGGGCCTGGGACATGGTGGGTTTGGAGCCGGGCAGGGGGCAGGGCCCCCCCATAGGTCTCCTCCAAAAGGCAGGAGATGTCTGGCAGGGGCCCTGCCCCCATGACCCTGTTGCACTACAGAGAACGGGGAGTGGGCCATCCGGCACCGGCCGGCCCGGAGGGTGCTGCACCCGGAGTTGGGCCGGGAAGCACTCGGCTTCCAGGAGATTCGCTTCTCACTCATCATCCAGCGCAAGCCCCTCTTCTACATCATCAACATCATCGTGCCCTGCGTGCTCATCTCCTCCCTCGTCGTGCTAGTTTACTTCCTGCCTGCGCAAGGTGAGCACCTGCCAGCCGCAGCCCCCTGCAGCTGGTAGCCATGGGGTCACCCACCGCCCACACGCTCTGGCTACAGGGTTGCCCACCACCCACATGCTCTGGCCATGGGAACACCCACTGCCCACACGCTGTGGCCACAGGGACGCCCACTGCCCACACACTCTGGCCACGGGAATGCCCACTGGCCACAGCAAACACACTCTGGCCACAGGTACACCCATCGCCCACACACTCTGGCCACAGGGACGCCCACCACCCACACACTCTGGCCATGGCGACACCCACTGCCCACATGCTCTGGCCACAGAGACATCTGCTGGCCATGGCAAACCCGCTTGACCACGGGGACATCTTCTGGCCACAGCAAACCTGCTCCTGCCTCAGGCACACCTCCCACAAAGGGCAAATGTGCTCTGGGCATGGGAACACCTGTCCAGCCACAGAAAACCCACTCCAGCCATGGGGACACCTGCCCAGCCACAGCAAACCCACCCCAACCATGGCAAACCTGCTCTGGCCACAGGGACACCTGTCTGCCATGGCAAACCCACTGTGGCCACAGCAAACCCACGGTGGCCACAGCAAACCCACTTTGGTCATAGGAAATCCCGTTCAGTCATGGAAAACCCTGCCTAGCCATGGGAAACCCCACCCTGCCAGGCATGACATCTTTGCTAACACAAGAAGCCCAGGATAGGCACATGAATCCCCAGGTCAAAAAGCAGCATACTCTGGGCAGGAGAAGGCCTACCAGGGTGCAAGAGAACCACCAAACTACCCCATGTCACCCCTGTGGTTTGCCCCCTGCAGCTGGCGGCCAGAAATGCACTCTGTCCATCTCAGTGCTGCTGGCTCAGACTGTTTTCCTCTTCCTCATCGCCCAGAAAATCCCAGAGACTTCGCTCAGCGTCCCCCTCATTGGCAAGTGAGTGACCCCTGCACCCTGCTGCCCAGCACTCCAGGGAACCAGCACTCCAGGGATCTCTTCCCGGCTCTGGGAGCGGAGTGGGGGCTAGTGGGTTAGAGCAGGGGGCTGGGAGCCAGGACTCCTGGGTTCTCTCAGATCTGGGAGGGGATTGGGGGCTTGTGGGTCAGAGCAGAGTGCTGGGGGGCCTGTACCAAATACATAGGAATGAGCGCTCAGGTTCACAGTGGCAGTAGGACAGGGCACTAAAAGTGAAAGGAAGCAGAGAGTCGAATACTGTAAAAACCTGAATTGAATCTAGCAGTGCCACAGAATCTCTCTGGCAGGAGATTCCCAAAGTGCATAGTAAATTCCTCCTGCCTGCCTTATTCTCCACTCCCTGCCCAGGACGTGGCTGAGGAGAAAACCCAACAATAATGGGAAGATTCTAAGGGACTGCAGACTTGTCCGCGAGAGGAGAGGCAATTCTTTGTTCAGTCCTATATGGCACATAGTGTCTGGTGCCCAAGGTGAATACAAGGCAGCCGCACCACTTGGGAACAGTGACCATAATGAATTGAATCCAACACCCTTGTGAGGAGGAGGAAACACCATAGGAGCCCCATAGAGAAGCATTTAGCTTCAAAGTGGACAATTAAATGGAAATTAAAAGAAACAGTCCCAAGACTGAAACGCCTGCAAGCTGAATAGAATTTTTTTTAAAACACCATAATAGAGGCTCTCAAACCTACAGGACCAAAACCCAGCCACGCTGGAAGAGAGACAAAACGGCATCTCTTCAAAACTGGACGTCAAGTCCAGCTGAGGAAAACAGAAAAGCTTCTGGCACATGGAGCATAAAAGCAGAATGAGGCAGGCCAAAGAAGACTTTTGAGGAGCAGCTAGCAAAAGACACAAACGCTAACTGCACCATCAGAAGCAGGCAGCCCACAGAGCAATCAGTGGGGCTGCCAGGCCCAGATGGGATCACCCAGGAGCCCTGAAGGAACTAGACATGAAACTGCAGAGCCACTAACTGTGGCATGTACCCTAGTTTCCAGACTGGAGCTGTCCCACAGGTGTCTGTATTGGGACCTTTGACACATTTCAGAAATGAGTTGGAAAAAGGGGTAAACAGGGAGGTGGCAAAATTTGCAAGCGATTCCAAATGACTCAGGGTAGTGAAGTCCAAAGCAGACAGTGGAGAGCTACAAAGGGACCCTGCAAAACTGGGCCACACAACGGCAGATGACATTCAATGCTGATAAATGCAAAGTAATGCCCATTGGAAACCACTGTCCCAACTAGACACATTGGTGAGGAGTGCAAATGAGAACAGCTAAATTAGCTGTTACTGTTGAAGAAAAAGATCTTGGAGTCACCACAGCTAATTCTCTCCAAGCATCTGCTCAATGTGGTGCAAGTTGAAAAGGCTACCAATGTTAGGAACCATTAGGAAAGGGGTAGAAAATAAGAAAGCAAATCTCACATGACCTCTCTAGAAGTCCATGAGATGCCCACACCTTGATCCCACTTGTAGATGTGGTTGTCCCATCTCACAAAAGATCAATGGAAAGATCAGAGACGGGCAACAAAAATGATGAGATGTCTGGAAAAGCAGTGTGAGGAGAGCTTAATAACACTGGGACTTGGAAACATGACAAGAAGTCCATGCAATCCTGACTGGTGTGAAGACAGTGAATAAGGGAGTGTTATTTGCATCTTCACTTTACACAAGAACTAGGGTCACCCAATGAATTGACATGCCCATGAATTGACAGCAGGTTTAAAACAAACCAGAAAAAATATTTCTTCCTATCATGCTGTCACTGAGGGTGGGGAGTCACCAGGCCCTGCACCTCCATGTGCAACCAGACGTGACTCTCAGGTAGAAGAGAAGGTTTATTAGTTGACAGGGATACAGTGTGGAGCAGACTTGTCAGCACAGGAACCAGAAGCAGCCAGCACTGTCCATCCTGGAGAGAGGGGGCTCAGAGCCAAGGACTCTGCCCCCCATCTCTGCACCCCAAGCCAACAAAACTCCTTCACACAACCAGCAGTCTGTCTCAGTCTTGCAGTCAGCCCCCACCTCCAGCCTTTGGCCTGCAAAAGGTGTCACCTGGTTACACACAGCCCTCCCAGGCTCAGGTTACAGAAAGCATCAGCCATTGTGTACGTGGGGGAGGCTGCCACACCGAAATTCTCATCAGCTAGATATTGGTGCAGTGCCCAGGGAAACTGAGGCACATACACACAGGGTTACTATAGGCAGTAGAAATCACATGCAATGTAACTAAGCAAACAGAGTGAATATAATCCCCACTTTATCACACACACACAGTCAGCCTGTGGAACTCCCTCAACAAGTTCACAGATGATACTAAGCTAGGGGGTGAGGTAGATACGTGACCTAGACATATTAGAGGATTGAGCCAAAATAAATCTGATGAAGTTCAACAAGGACAAGTGCAGAGTCCTGAACTTGGGATGGAAGAATCTCAAGCATTGTTACAGGCTGGGGACCAACCAGCTAAGCAGCCATTCAGCAGAAAAGAACCTGGGGATTAGTGGATGAGAAGCTGGATATGAATCAACAAGGCACCCTTGTAGCCAGAAAACTAATGGCATAGTGGAGTGCATTCGTAGGAGCATTGTCAGCAGATATAGGGATTTGATTAATCCCCTTTATTTGGCACTGGTGAGGCCACAGCTGGAGTATTGGTTCCAATCCTGCGGCCCCCATTACAGAAAGGATGTGGATGCATTGGAGAGGGTCCAGCAGAGGGCAACAAAGATGATGAGGGGGCTGGAGCATATGATCTATGAGGAGAGCTGAGGGATTTGGGCTTAGTCTCCAGAAGAGAAGAGTGAGGGGGGATTTGACAGGGGAGTTCCAAAGAGGATGGAGAAAGGCTGTTCTCAGTTATGGCAGATGGCAGAACAAGGAGCAATGGTCTCAAGCTGCAGTGGGGGAGGTCTAGGTTGGATATTAGGAAAAACTATTCCCTAGGAGGGTGGTGAAGCACTGGGATGGGTTCCCTAGGGAGGGGGTGGAATCTCCATCCCTAGAGGTTTTAAAATCCTAGCTTGACAAAGCCCTGGCTGGGATGATTTAGTTGGTGTTGGTCCTGCTTTGGGCAGGGGGTGGGACTCTGTAAGTCTATGATTCTAACTCCCTGCCAAGGGATGTTATAAAGGTAAAAAATATAACTGGGTTCAAAAACGGATTGGCTACAGTCACAGGCTGTGTCTAGACTGGCCAGTTTTTCCGGAAAATCAGCCGCTTTTCCGGAAAAACTTGCCAGCTGTCTACACTGGCCGCTTGAATTTCTGCAAAAGCACTGACTTCCTACTGTAAGAAATCAGTGCTTCTTGCGGAAATACTATGCTGCTCCCGTTCAGGCAAAAGTCCTTTTGCGCAAAAGGGCCAGTGTAGACAGCTCAGATTTGTTTTCCGCAAAAAAGCCCCGATCATGAAAATGGCAATTGGGGCTTTTTTGCGGAAAAGCACATCTGGCATGGACGCTTTTCCACAAAAAGTGCTTTTGTGGAAAAGTGTCCGTGCCAATCTAGACACTCTGTTCCGAAAATGCTTTTAACGGAAAACTTTTCCGTTAAAAGCATTTCCAAAAAATCATGGCAATCTAGATGCAGCCACAGAGAATAGGTCCCTCAGTCGCTACTAGCCAGATGGGCAAAGAGGCAACTCCATGCAGTGGGTCCCCCTAATCATCTTACTGACAGTGATGGGTGATGGGTGATAGATCACTTGGAGAGCCTGGGGGCCAGGACTCCTGGGTTCTCTGCCTGGCTGTGGGAGGGGCTTGGGGGCTGGTGGATCAGAGCAGGGGGGCTGGGAGCCAGGACTTCTGGGTTTTTTCCGCAGCTCTGGAAGGGGGCAGGGGGGCTGGTCGGTCAGAGCAGGGGAGCTCGGAGCCAAGACTTCTGGGTTTTCTCCCGGGCAGGTACCTGATGTTCGTCATGGGGGTGGCGACGCTGATCGTGATGAATTGCGTCATTGTGCTCAACGTGTCTTTACGAACCCCCAACACTCACTGCATGTCTGAGCAGCTCAAACATGTAAGAGCTGGGGAAGTGGCTAGGAGCAGCAGTGGGGAGTGGGGCTGGAGGGCTGTGCAGTGGAGGGGCTGGAAAGATGGAGAGGCTGCCAGGTACAGGGTGGGGGGAGTTAGGGGCAAAGCTCCACGGGAAGACCAAGGAGGATGTTTCTGGAGGGCTGGAGCAATAGGGAATCAGTGCCACTTTTGGAGGGAGAAGGAGGCACAGGGGCTGAGGGGCACCACACTTGGATGGGGAGGGGAGAAGCAGGTGGGGGCACTGCTCTTGGAGGGGAAAGGAGAGATGCAGACAGGAGGTACAAGGGACAGACCAAACCTGGGAGTGGAAAGGGGAAGCCAGTGGAGCTTGGAGGAGGGGGGCAGTGAGCCTACACTAGGGGCAGGGACCAGCAAGGTGGTGGCAGAGCGCAGGCACAGGATCAAGGGCTGAGCCTGGACATCCACCTCTCCCCCCAGGTGCTCCTAGAGGTCCTGCCACGGTACCTAGGCTCAGCGCTGGAGCCCTCGGGGGATCCCTGGGCTGCGCCTCCCACCCGGCGGCGTAGCTCCTTCGCCATCATGCTCAAGGCTGAGGAGTACATCCTGAAGAAGCCACGCAGCGAGCTCGTCTTTGAGCACCAGGGCCAGCGGCATGGCCTCCACCGCAGCCCCACTCCTGGTGAGAAATACTCCCCCCCCCCCCCATCCCCCACTCCTTCCTAACCCCCCCCCGCCTCTCCCTCTGCAGATGGGGTGGACGTGGGCATCACAAGCACCTTGTACAAGAACCTGGCCAGTGCGGCCCCTGAGATCCGGGAGTGTGTGGAGGCCTGCAACTTCATCACAGAGACCACCAGGGAGCAGAACGCCAGCAGTGCTGTGAGTCCCATATCAGCCAGCCCCACACTGCAGCCTACTGGAGGGGAAATCCCTGGGTCTCTCTCCTAGCCTGACTCCTACTCTAATCCCCCAGCCAAGAATCCCAGAGTCCTGGCTCCAGCCCCCCTGCTCTACCCACTCCCAGAGCTGGGGAGAGAACCCAGGAGTCCTGGCTTCCAGCTCCCCCTGGTCCTACTCTCCCAGGGCCAGGGAGAGAACCCAGGCGACCTGCATCCCTGCACTGTGAGTGCCGGCATGCTGACACCCCTCTCTCTGCCCCAGGAGATGGAGAACTGGGTGCTGATCGGGAAGGTGATTGACAAACTCTGCTTCTGGGCTGCCCTGCTGCTCTTCACCATTGGAACCCTTGGCATTTTCCTCATGGGACATTTCAACCAGGTGCCCGACAACCCCTTCCCCCAGCTGCCAGACCTATAGCCAGGACCCCACCTTGCCTTACCTCACCCAGCCTTTTCCCCCTCCTGCTGCAGTCACTGACAGCACATGGAGGTAGCCATGCTGGCCAGGCAGATGTCCACAGGGAGCTCCCTTGCCCTAACCCGGGGCCAAGGCTCCCGGTCTGGGGGGCCATGCCCCATGACCACATGTACTGTGGTGAAGTTACAATGGCCCTGACCCACACAGCTGCAAGGTGCCGCTTCAGGCCTGGGCTTGGCCATCCCTGAGGTTGCTGGTGCTAGGGAAGGCCCCCACCCCACCCCAGCTCCGTGTCCAACAGGGAGCCCAGGAGAGGCCCAAGGGAGGAGGGTTAGAATTAAGAAAAGCACAGAGCAATGGGGACACAGATACCCCACTACCAACCCCAGATGTTAGACCCAGGTTATTACAGATCCTCGTATAAACAGCTGTCCTGCCCCAGACACAAATGCATCTTGGCACCAGGTGAAGGGATCCTTTATGAACAGCCACCTCAACCCAGACACAGCCGTATCTTGGCACTGTGCAAGGGGCCCCTGTATGAACAGTCGCTCCACCCCAGACATGGATTCATTTCAGTAACAGCTGCCCCACCCCAGAAACAGACATCTCAGCACTGGGTGAGGGGGTCCCTGTATAAACAGCAGCCCTGCCTGACACAGGGGCATCTTGGCACTGGGCGAGGAGTCCCTGTATGAACAACCCTACATCCCACCCCAGAGGCAATTGCAACTCATCTTCAAGGCTGTCCCCTCCAGAGCAGGGAGATTCTGGGGACATACAGCTCTCTGGCATTAGCTCTTGTCAGATTGGGTGGGGTCCAGACATGGTTACAATACCTGCTGAGCTAGTGTAGATGGGCCCTGTGGATTTCATCCTCTGCGTATTGCTCCTACTGCAGACCATGCCACACCTGGTCCCAGCTCACTTTCCTGTCTCCCCTGCCTCCCTAACCTGGGCCTCTCAGGTGCCAGCCTCGGGCCATCACACACCAATCCTGTCTCACAATGACCTGGGAACCTGCCCATCCCCTAGCCTCAGGACCATTCCAGGCTGCAAAGCTTGCCTGCAGAGATGAAAAAGAAGTAATAAATGGGGATGCAACACACACAGAAGTGGCAGTTGGGAGTCCTCCAGCCTCCTCACTTCCACCCGTGCCTGCCCTAGGACCACTGCAACCCCTTCCTGACTCTGCTGCAGGCTTGTGAGGAAGGCAGGAGCTTGTATCAGTTTCATCACTGGGCTTTGATGCAGTTTTCAGGCTCTGGGAGGCCTCCCCCATGCTCCACACTAATTCGCCCCAGGCCCCACCAACTCAGACCCAGTGTCGTGCACTCTCTACATTTCACCAAAGCAAAGCAGAAGCTGGCAGAGGCAAATACAGAGTGGATTTGGTGCTGCCTGGTCCCAGCTGGTGTTGTGCAGGACAGTGACCTCTGACAGCCAAAGACTGTCAGCAATTTCACTTCCCTTCTGTCTGCTCTAGCTAATAAAGGCACATATTTAACCCGCAGGCATCGTCCAGCCTGTTTGTGATTCACAGGCCAGGCTGTGACTGACTGCTCGCCAGTGGGTGCAAAGGAGTTAAAAGCTGCCCAATACATGAGGTGTGTGAGGCTGGGTGGGTGGGTCCCTAAAGGACTGGAGGGATGAACTGGAGCCAGGTCAGTGGAGGAGCTAGCAAAACAATGGGACTGCAAGTTGACACCTAACAACTAGAAAAATGAGGCAAGGCTACAGCCGGCCTTGGAAAATGACAGGCGCACACCTGGCACAGAGAGAACCAAAATGGCTCTGCCATGGCACAGTCCCCAAAAGCCCTGGGTTGGCCAAGACCTTTGCTTCTTTACACTAACTTCAGGCCTTCAGCCCAGGAATGGCCCTGCTGTGAAAAGGCCTTTGGGCGTCTCTGCAGATGCTGGCTGGGTGCCTGGGTCCCTGCAGGACAGAGGGCTCTGGGCCTGCTAGGGAAGAACTTGCAGGGTGAAGCAGGAAAGCTGGAGCCTCAAGACTTTGGTTATGAGGCCATGCAGGTGACCCTTATGGGGGATTGTTTAAAAGCTGGGCTATAGCTCACATCCCTTGGATCTGTGACACACTGCTGCAGAATATTAGAGAGCCACTCCCTGAACCCCAAAGTAAATGTGCAATCAGTACCATGATCTGTTTACTGAGTTCCAAGCAACTAGAAGAGGGACAGACAAGATACAAGGCTTGGCCCAACTAACAGACCTGCACATCGCACGCAGGGCGGCCATTGCTACCCGAGGGTTCATGTCCGAAAGTACTGTCCCAGTCTTGGCCCCCCCAATAAATAATCCACAGACGGCTGGAGCACCCCACCCCGTCCATACAGAAGCTCTGAGGTTCTGCACTGTCCTCCCTGCCGATCCTGTCATGTGATTTGGGAACCAGGGGAGAACTGCAACATGACTGACACCAAACACGAAGGGGAGGGTCTCCAACCAGATCCATGATTCACAGCCTGGTCTCATTCCAAGACGCTGGCCCCAAGGAGGCATTCTCCTTAGCACTGCGTTCTGGGGGGAAGCCCAGCTGTGGCAGGGCAGGGCCTCCTATTAGGCACTGAGGAAGAACTTCTTGTAGAATTTGTTCATCTGCTCGAGGAAGATGAATGTCAGGACTGTGTGGGGCCCCAGGCGGGCATAGTATGGGGTGAAACCCTTCCACAGGCTGAAGAAACCTTCATACCGGATGACTTTCACCAGCACATCCTGGAAGTCAGAAAGCAGAGGTTAGCATGTGGTGGGCACAGGGCGGCCATTACTCTGGTGCTGCCAGCGTGACCAATGCATCATGCTGACTCCAGCTGGCTAAAATCCTTACACTAGTGAGTAGCTCGCGCAAGAGGTTGTAAGTACCTACATCCTGTGTCTCAGACGGATCAATCACCCCTTCACTTTCTCTTCACTATGTTAATCGACCTCCTGGCTCTCTCACTTGAAGGCAGGGCTTCTAATCCTCCTCATAGCTTTTCTCTGGCCCCTCTCCAATTTAATCCCCTCTACTGGAATTGTGGGTGCCAGAACTGGACACAGGATCCCAGAGGCAGTCACAGCAGTGCGTAATCCAGTAGTAAAATCACCACTCTGCCCCAACACGAGATTTTCGCTCATGCAGCCCAGGATCGCACGAGTCCCTTGGGGCCCAGCGTCGTGCCAGGAGCTCCCGTCTGGCCAATTAGCCACCCTGCCCCCCAAGACCCATCTCCAAATGGCTTTGGGGTACAGGACAAAAGGGCACGTGCATGTCTGGACTCCATGGAATAGCTGATCACTGCATCTCACTGAAAGCTGGGGTGTTCTACACCTATGTCTGAGCCTGGCACTTGACCTTCTACGCTTGCTGTATACTTCTCCAGTTCCCCACTGCGAGGAGGGCAGCTCAGCTGCTCTATCAATAGAAACCTGCCAAGGAATGGCAGAGAGAACCTGCCAGCTGGACACAGGGGCAAGAATATTAAAGAAATCTAACACCCCGAGCACAACCCAGGGCACAGTGCAGTCAAGGAGGCAGATCCCAGGACATCCTCTGGCTCCAGCTGTCACTTACCAGCCCATTCTTATACTCTGGCTTTCCGTCGATCATTCGCATGTTCTGAATCCTGTGTGCACCGAGGAAAGGGAAAGGAATCCTTTAAGCCAGCAGCAGGCGCTTAGCATGTGACTGCCGGTTATTTATACATCAAGATCATTTTCTGTGTATCTAAGGATCAAGGGTGGAACTGGGACACAAGAAAGCCAGCAGCCCAACCCAGCTGGCCCTGTGATTCCTGCAAGTTAAGCAAGGTCAAGTCTTTATGAGATCCGCTCCCAGAACCAGGGCACTATGGGTAATGCTGCCCATGCTGGGTGGGGAAGAGTCTGGATCGACAGTTTGCTCTTCAGGCTGCTGACAGGAGGTGATTCCCTCCTGTCGTGATGTGCACAGCTGAGAATTCACCAACTCAGCCCACAAAATACCCACATGGCAGGGATGCTGGAGCAGGAGCACATTCCCCATGGCAACAAAAGCCTCCACTCCCTATTTCTGCCCCATCTCCATGCTCCCCCTCAGCCAGGGTCTTTGGACAAGCCATCTTGGCCAGCATGGAGGGCACAATCTTGAACACCTCCCACTCACCTAGTCTTGGCGATATCCACCGGCATTGAAGCAGCTGTGGTCACCAGTCCACTTATCATGCTGGCACAGAAATGGCAGAAGATGTTATCTTGGAAGTAGCCTGCAGAGGAGAAAGGGAGAATTTTAGGACCTGCTGCCATCCTGGAGATCAGACTTAAGCCATTGGAGCCCCTATCTCACTGAGCATTAGCAGACCAGGTATCAAATCCCTGCTGTCCCCAGGCTCACAGGGAGAGATGGCCCATTAGCTCTCACCCAGCCGTGGTGCTAAGACCACTGAGAACAACTTGACAAGTCCCTGTCTCATAACCCACAAGAAAGGAGCAGGTCTAACAATTAAAATAGGGGGGCTAGAAGCCAGGACTCCTTGATTCTCTCTCCAGCTCTTCCACTGAAATATTGGGAAGCCCGTGTCCTCTTTGTGCTTCAGTCCAATGTGGATAACATCTTATCACCTCCTGGGGGCAGTCAGGATTGGTTAGCAAGGGAGTTGCACCAGGTATAATACTGCTAATACTACTGGCTCAAGTAACTGGAACCTATCTGCAGTGTTACTATGTTGTCAGTCACAACAAAACAGGACTTACCAGAGTCCAGCAAGAACTGCTTGGACTGAGAGTAGGAGGCTAGCTGGGCAGCGTTCACAACCACCGCTCTGGCCATGGTGGGGACACAGCCCTGCCATGCAAAGAGAGTGGGGTGGTTAATGGGGGATGCAGGAAATGCATGCAGACACTGGGGAATGGGATATCCAAGTGCTTGCTTTCTATAAGAAGCCTGCCCCAGACTAACACCAAGCCCCTCAAATGTGTCTGCCAATAGACTAATCCCACAAACCCAGCAAATCTCATGGCTGCCTGCGTGACCAGGCCTAGCCCTCTAACCAGCATCATACCCGCCAGAGTGTTAGCAGGCCCTCTTCCCGGGTTATCCTCAGCAGTGCATTGAAGACATTGGTATAGCCTCTTCTCTGGTCAAGGGGAAGCCTAAGAACACAAACAGAAGAAGGAAGCAAGGTGGCTGTTCAGTCAAACTGTCCCCAGACACACAGACCACCTCTGAGCGGGACCTACTGGGTTACATCAGGAGACCATAAAGAGCTTGTGCCAGGCCAGTTAGGCACAGGGGACACCAGGCTTTTCGTGGGGGCTAAAAGTCCCACCGCCAGGGAAGGATGAGGCAACAACATCATGTCACATGCACTTTAAGCTCCCTCACCTGCCATCTGCCGTCATTCTGATGAGCGCCACCTCGGCTGGTGTGCCCACAAAAGCCCCAGTGGCACCAGCCGTCATGCCGATCACCGCCTTCATGAAGAAGTTGGGTGGAGTGCCATCAGGCTTGGTGAGCTTCTCGAAGAGGATGGTGTAGATGCCCAGGCGTGTGGTGGTGTAGGTCGCTTGTCTCAGGAGCCCTGCCGACAGCCTGCCGAGAACAGGAAGATTACAGGCCTGTATGTAGCTGGAAGTTCCAGGCCTGGGCCCAGCTGTGACATAACAATTAGGTGCATTTCCACGTAGGCCCTGAGGCCCGGCACATGGAAGAGCCTGGGAAAGGTGGGTCACGTCAGCAACACAAGGTGCGTCTTCTGCCAGCACCCCATGTGCCCTCATCCTCACTCAATATCACCCCAATGTGCACAAAGCATGTCCCAGCTCTGTACTGGAGAAAGGTGCCGATCTGACAAAAATTCATGCTACACCCTCACCAGGCTCAATCCATTTCTTACAGGGGCAGACAACGCCTACCACTATAAGGCAATAAGTCTGGTCACTACATGCAATGTGTAGCCTAGTGGGAAAAGGCCCCATGTCCTATTCCTCACCTCCCCAAGCCAGTCAGTCTGCCTTCACGAAACCGGATCAGAGCTGGTACCTTTTACAGCAGAGAGGCCCTGTATCCCATTCTTCACCTCCCTGAGCCAGTCGACCTCCCATCCTGGGGCTGATGGGAGCTGGTGCCCTCTAGATGAGAATGTCCCCACATCTCTGTGCCAGCACAAAGGAGCCCTTTCAAAGGTGCCTTCGGCCCCTCATACCCAGTGTAGATGCCACGGATGCCTTCCTTCCTGAGGATGCTTCTGACTGCATGAAAGCTCGTTTTGTACTCTTTGGTCTTGGCTCCTTCCCCGCTCAGCTGCATGCGGTTCTTCACCAGGTCCAGGGGCTGCACAAACACAGTTGCCCCCATGCTGTGAAGCCACACAGAATGGTTTACAAAAGACAGATGGGAGGGAACCAGCATATATGCTGCAGTTAATGAGTATCTAAAGTGATAAACTGTATGGGGATTAGGGATGTAAAAACATATAGAAAATCATTAACCATGTAACAGGTCAAAATTTTGTTGGTTATGCAGTTAAGTGTCTAAGGCAGTGTCTCTCAACTATTTTTTATAAAATACCTCTTTTAAAAAAAATTATAAGTATCTCCAGTACCTACAGTTTTCAGACACACAATTTTTTTTTCTACCATTGCAACATATTTGTTTAAACAATTCAATCGATGAAATTTTGGGGTGTAAAAAGTAAAAAAAAAAAAAAAAAAAAGCTGTAAAACTTAAAACAAAAATTCAGTTTTCTCCAAATTTCAGTTGTGTTGATGTACCCCCCAGACTTCTCTTGAGTACCCCTAAGGGTACTCAGACCAGAGTTTCTCAACCAGTGGTACAAGGGGATGCAAAGGTTGGGAGGGAAGGGTCACCACCCTTTGCCATGTGCTGCACCCCTCTCCCAGGTCCAGTTGCTGGCCCTGCCATGCCAGCTGGGCTCCTGGGTGCCCGAAGGGTCACCACAGCTGGTCCTTCCATGGCAGCTAGCCCTGCCAATACTGACAGCCTCACTGTCATCAATGAAAACACTAGCCTCATTTGCTTTGGACAATCCAAAGGGGAGTGTTTTATGGGTGATAGCACGAATCATTAGAAAATGCTAGCCTGCCCATGCCAGCCTGCCCTCTACCCCCGAACCAGTGCCCTATTGAAGATGAAAGACTTAGCCCATTCCCTAATTTCCCTGAGCTAGCTGGTCCACTTTTCCCTCTTTGAATCAGCATAGGTAGGCTGCATGCAGCTCCCTAGAAGTGGAAGAATAACTGTCATCAGGAAATGCTTATTAAGAGTAAGAGAAATACCAATTAACGAGGAAGGAGGCTTTCAAACCTCATTTGTTGTCCTTCTCAAACGCCCTAGTCATGCTAAATTCGTGTCCCTCCAGCTCAAGGAAACTCTCATGCTGCACAAGAGGATTATTAACGTTTTTGGCCAAGTCAAGTGGCTAACACCACGCTTTGCTAGACACACAATCCCACACTGTGCCAGTTTGCCAAGTCCTGAGCACACAAGCACTCATGGTGCCAGCTAAAGCCTAACCTTACTAATTACAAATCTTCATTTTGGCATCCAAGGCAGAGCTTGGTTTCATCCTCCTCTGATTGCAGGTCTCACATCTAAGAGCTGCAGACAGCTTTAGAAAACAAGGGAAGAAATATTCCAAAGGCCTGACCTAGAGAGATGTAAAGTCTTTCCCAGCAGCTACTGACTCTGTGATCTTGGAAGAATAACTACACCTTTATGTGCTTCACAGGCATCATAAAATCCAGGAGTCCTGGCTCCCAGCCCCACACCCCTCCAAGAGCCAGTGAGAGAATCCAGGAGTCCTGGCCCCCCACTCCCCTCCCAGAATAGGAATGTAGAAATCTGTTTAATCAGTTAATTGGTTAAATGCTGCAGTGCCCTGGGCATCATGTAACCAGTGATCTCTCTATACCAGAGCCAAGGAGAGAACCGAGCCCTAGCTCCAGGTCTCCCCAAAGGCACTGTGTCTAGGGGTCTCTGAGCTGAGGAGGGAATGTGCAGGTGGGGGGAGGAGGAAGAGTGAAGGCGGCCGAGTTTGGAAAGGGGACATGGCCATGCAGGGGTGTCAGGGGCTACTGTACCGTGGGGGCAGGGCCCCAGGCACACCCCCAGCCCGGCAGGGAAGGGGACTGAGCGCCAGGGGCTGCCCATCCCCATGGGAACAGGCTCCAGGGGTGCGGCTGGGGGAGGCTGCGAGGCCTCTTGGGAGAGTGGGGGAGGGGCCAGAGGGGCTGTGGAGCGGGGTCTCCTGGGTTATCTCCCCGGCTCTGCAGAGGAAGCGGGGGAAGGTCATGGGGGGGGGGGGTCAAGCCCGGAGGGGCGGGGCTCACCCGGCCAGGCCGCCGAACAGGAACTTCACGGCCTTGGGGGAGGTTTTGGGACGCTCGGACCCTGCCGCCGCCATCGCTCGGGCCAGGCCGGGCCGGCACCAAGGTGACACCGGCTGCGCGCGCACCCAGCGCTAGGGGGCTGGGGCGGAGCAAGGAAGGGCTGCGCACGCACCCAACGCTCCGGTGCGGGGCGGGGCCGGAGAGACTGCGACGCGCCGGATAGCACGAAGCGACCGAGGTGCGCGCGCAGTCTGGCCTGCTCCTGCGGGGCGGGGCGAGGCGAGGCGGGATGGGTGTTGAGCGAGGGTGCGCGCGGTGGGCTAGCCGATTTTGGCGGGAAGGGCGGTTGGCACGGCCGTTGGGACGCACAGCGCCCTGCAACGGGGGAGGGGCCAGCAGGGCTGGAGACCGGTGCCCTTCGCCTGCGCTAGTATCCGGGGTCTGGTTCCTACCACCCCCGTCAAAGACACTACTCCGGCATTGGTACTCAGTTCCCCCTCGTGATACTTAGCACCCCCAGTGACAGCCCACCCCGTGACACTCCCCCCCCCGAAATAATACTCCGTGGAAATACCCCACTGGTGTCCCCTCTGAAATAGCACTGCACAGAAATACCCCTGGCCAGGCCTGGGCAGAGGAGGCTGCAGTGGTCGGCCGGTGTCTGCTCCCTGGAGCTGAGGTGCTTACTGTCCCCCTGGGGTCATTCTGGGGGATAACTGTGCCATGTGCTTTCTGCCCTCTGGGGTCATTCAGGAACATTACTGTTCCTGCTATCACAGCCCCCCCCTTTCCATTTGATGAGAAACAATCACAGGTCACACACATCCCATTGTCCTGGCACAATCAAACCCTGACCTTGTTTTAAGTTCTGATAAGAGGAAGCTGCCTACCAAATGTGGTGGTCCTAGCTCATACCATTAAGAAAGAGTTCTTGAACAGACTCACAGACAGATGTACAGACAAACGCACATTTCTAAAATATATAGTAAGAAGAAGTAGGGATGTTAGAGTGTAATCGATTAACCGATAAGCAAAAGCTTATCGGTTAATGTTATAAACTATATGCATTTCTCCCCACCTCCTCCGCTAGTAAATTTTTTAGCAGACCAGCAGCCCGGCTCAGTCCTGGCTTGCGACAGGACCTATCCCTGCTGTGGCTCTGCATTTAAAGTGTATTATGAGCCAGGCAGGCAGGCATCCTGGCTCAGACCTGGCTCACACTGAGTCCAGGAGCTCAGACCCACCCTAGACCTTTATCAGAGGCAACAGCAGAGAGTGACAGGCAGCCAGTCCGTGAAGGGAGATGTTTTTTTAACTGGCTCCCCTCACAGACCAGCTCCAGCTGCTACAGAGGCAGCAGCATGGAGTGGAAGTGGCATCCTTGGGAGTGAGGTGCACTGGCTGCTGGCCCCGCTCCCCCAGGAACTATAGACTAGTCGACTAACCAATAAGAATTCATGAGGTTACTCAACTATTCAATTAACCGATATTTAACATCCCTAAGAAGAAGATATATGTCCCACATCCCAAGTTGGTTCAGCATCTGCACTACTGAGCACATTCTCAACTCCAAATCAGCAAGCAAGCTGGGCAGATGCTGGATCAGCAAGATAGCACACCTCCTGGAGCAGTCTCAGTGCCCCCCCACAAATTGTGCCAGGCACCTTACATTCCCTCTGACTGCTGTCGCTCGAATGCTGCTACCCCATCTGAGAGCAAGTGCAAACAGCAGCTGAAATTAGAGAAATTGATGTTTGGGGGGTGAATAGTGTGAAAGAAGATAAACGGTGGTTACACTGAGTCTCAGCCCCCCTCCCCCATTCTACTCAGTGCAGTCACTAAAGGCTTGCAAGCAAGCTCTGTTTAAAGTGGGAAATGGGAGTCCCAACAGGGTCCAGCCCCCAGGTTTTGTACTGCTTCCTCCACCTCCCTAGGGCAGAGTGTTTCGCTGTAGGGGAGTCCTGAATGGGGTCAAGATGATCTCCCCCCCCCCCCCCCACA